AGCAAGACTGCCTCGATAATCGCCCACGAACTTTGTACAGGGGTCGGAAAGCCCCGGACACGTTCACGGTATGATTTGTTTCAGCTAGGTGTGAAACTACTGCACTGGTGAGTGACTTAATCGTTCCGGTGTTCAGCCACGCAGGGTGGTGTTCACGAATTCGTTCGGATAATCGCCTGACCGTGCGGCCTATGTACGTTGTTCCACAGGAACAAGTAAATGAGAATACACAGAATGAGACCGTAGAGTCTGGAACTTTGTCCTTCAGTCGCAAACACAGTTGGCCTGGACGTGAACAACGCACGCAACTTGGATGCATAGAAAGTCCTATAGATTGTCGGATGATCTTCTTTGTATGATCTCAGCTGATGTGTCCCATTTGAACGGCAAAGAAATGTACACTGATTTTTTCTTAACCTCGGTGTTTTGTACAGAGCTTTTCGTGCACTGAATTATCTTGTTAACTAAGCGCTCCGTATATCCTTTGCGTGCAAAGATCGATTTTAATGTACGCAGTTCCTCTTCTAGTGTGTTCCCACTGCAGATCTTTTTTGGCCTATCTGCTAGGCAAGGAACCAGGTTCATTTTACATGGCACAAAGCTTCGAACATGAATATATTGGTCTTTCGAAGTTGCTTTTCTTTGCACGAAACGCTGCACCAAACCATCTCATTCGCGAGTGATGAAGACATAAAAACGACAATTTGTTGTTACACTCTGTACCATGCCCTGGAAAAGTGGCTGGCCAAATTGTTAGAACCCGTTTAAGTTAGTTTGGCAAAACACAGTGTCAAAGATACCTTTACTCTTGTGAACAAAATACGTGACAAACTTGGTCAACCGAACAATACTGTCGCTGAACTTCAGTTAACTGTTCACAAATGTTCCCATCAACGAAACGATTGAATACCTGTGTGGTTATGTACAAACTAATAATGCAGAGCTCGGCCTCCATTTGTATGACCTAAAACAAGTGCTTTATTTTTGTACGTATTATGTTCAGTTCAAGTAAGCAGTGGGTCTCAGTGGATAAAAATCGTTTCTTTTTACGCTCTGAGTTCCAGCGTACCAATGGCACTAATAGAACTTTACTAAGTCTCCTCTGGTGTCTCTTCTTCGTGAACGAATTGTTCAATGCATTGTGTACCCGTGCTATCTATCAAACTCATACAGCTAGAAACCAAGTGAATTGAGGCTCCTTCAATTAGTCCCCATACACACAAGCTATTGAGATACATCGTTTGAACGGGACAGGAAAATCATTATAAGAAATCAGCCATATATTTGTTGTTTGAATTTGGGCACAACGGACACAACTTAGGTTCGGCGCATACACGTGTACTGGCATTCGAATTGGGATCCGAAATTGTTCCGATTTCCACCACATCCGCCGTAGATAAACTCCTCACATTCTTGTTTGGCCCGATTGAACGCCCATCGTCGAATGACTGCCAAACACATTCCCGGATCACGCGGCAGTAGACACTGACCTAAATAGAAATACGTTTGGAGGAAGTGGACTATTACGTTCATTACTAGGTGGAATAATTTCCTTATTAAAGTTCAGCCGGGTGATCTTTTCAAATAATAGCCAATGAAATATTCACTGCGGGGGTGAATCACTGTTTGTCCATTTTACCAGTTATACAAGAGACACCGGGATGATGATGGTGGCTATGATCAGGTAAATTAAGTTCCTTTCACTGGTGTACCTCGAGCTCTAAGATTTGAGGCTGAAATCCTGTCAGTGTCGCAAACGTCGGGACTTTATGTGCTTTTCCACCTCAGGTCTCAGAGCGTAAGCTGCAGCCTATAACCTCGTGATTATGGGTCTACGCTTTTCACGTTCGTTACGAAGGTTCGCGTATCATGAAAATGTAAAACGTCAATCAACCTATGAGTCAGTGAAGAAAACAAATGAGAGGCAATGCAATAGACAAGCTATGGTTTGTAGCGCGGTTTGGTGGTACATTTCCTCATTTCACACTCACGGGGACCAGTTAGAACTGGACAACGGACCAAAACTTCTCAAAGTCATTTCTACCTGCACGTCTGACTATGGGTGTAACGGACGATGGTCGGATATGTGTATGTGTGTAGGACATACCGTTTGGTTTTCCATTAGTCCAGGCAAGCATATTCAACAGTACGATGACAATCAGAAGCGAGAACAAAATCGTTCGCATCTTGGATGATAACGATGATACAGAATTGGGCAATTGTGAATCTGTGGTCAACAAAACCAACGGTTTCATGTGCATATATATATATTCACTTATTTCATGATCGTAATTGTTTATTTCCGTTGCATTTGAGGAATTATCCACAGGAAGTGAACTTTGCATCCATCTATTTTATGATTCTTCTTTTTAATTTCTAATGCGTTTTTTTGCAAAATTACGTGTCAAATTTATGGGACTTCCACATGAGTGAGGGAGGAGGGGGACATGAGGAAGTCTAATTGTCAATCCAATCTAATGAGCCATTCTGATCGTACATTCCTGTCTAGCGTGGTAAATGGAAGCAAACGATTTGAAATCATTCAATTCCTGCAGTGTCAGAAAACCAAGGGAAGTAAAATTTGCATTTTCTTTCCGGATAGTTCGTGCAATGTTCCACTGTTTCGACAGTTTCCCATATTAAACTCATAGCGATGTGGTCAAGTGCAGAGAAGTGTGCAGCCGAAGGATAAACAAATGTTCATTATATGCAATACATTTTAATGGTTTTCCCAAATTACGATCTATTTTATGGAAATGAACATGCAATTTAGACCAATATGTAAATGAATCGGCAACGCTACTCTCTACTACTAAATCAGGAATAATCATCAAATGTGCCTATGGTAACCACGAACTACTGTGATATCTATCAAACTTTCACGCTGTATAACTCGGCAATTCTATTACAGCACGGCNAGAATTATCATCAAACACAAAAAATATAGCGAAAAAGCTTGTTTTCGTAACTTCGTTTTCAGGCCGCAGATCTGCACAAACCTCAAGGTTATCCTTGAGGTTTGTGACGCCGTCGTCACATCCGACTGTCTGTGAAGGGTCGAGTGCATGCTGCGGCAGTTCAGCCATTCTACTATACGGAGCAGAAACCTGGTCATTAAGAAAACAGGATAAAGATAGGATATCGGTGTTTGAACATCGCTGTCTACTCAGTATTGCACGAATCCGGTGGGGCAGCCGGACGAGCAATTCTGAGGTTAGGCGTAGAGTTTTAGGTTACCGCGGTCGCCCACTGGAGCAAGTGATCGACCTTCATGG